AGCAAGGAATAGGAGATGCTTTGTTTACCAGGGCAACCCTTAGAGTAACTAGGAACAATGGCCACAAACTGATGGAGAGCAGATTTAGGTTATATATCAGGAAGAACTTCTTTACGGTAAGGGTTGCCAGAATCTGGAATGGGCTTCCAAGGGAAGTGGTGCTCTCTCCTACCTTGGGGGTCTTCAAGAGGAGGCTAGACATGCACCTGGCTGGGGCCGTTTGACCCCAGTGCTCTTTGCTGTCCAGGGCAGGGGGTCAGACTCGATGATCTGCTAAGGTCCCTTCCAACCCAAACATCTATGAATAATATGGTGTTCAGGAGCTCTTAGACATCTGTAGATGTGAAAGGTCAGGGTCACAGAGGAGAATGGCATGAAGTTCACACCAGCAGAGCAGTAGGCTGCACTAGGGAAAAAGGCAGTAAATTGCACTTGGGGTATAACCAGTCAAATGAGGTGACAATCTGGCAGCTGCAGCATAGGCAAGGAGTTGGGTAGCACAAGGGTAAGACATTTCATAGATTGATAGACATTAGGGCTGGAAGGGACCTCAGAAGATCATCGAGTCCAGCCCCCTGCCCAGGGGCAGGAAGTCAGCAAGGATCGTAGGATCCCAGCAAGATAAACATCCAAAATGTCTCTTGAAGGCGTTCAAAGTTGGTGCTTGAACCACCTCCGGTGGGAGGCTATTCCAGACCTTGGGGGGCTCGGACAGTAAAGAAATTCTTCCTTGTGTCTGCCTGAAACTGGCCCCCAGTTCTGTTCTGTGCACTCCCTTGCAGTCACAGGAGCTGGGGCTGGGGCCTTCTTCCAGGTGCTCCAGGGCAGGGGCATTGACCATCTCCCAGCCGGGAACATGGGGTCACGGTTCAACCCCCTTGGCGCCCTGGTCTGGTGCAGCCAAAGGCTCTAGCTACAGCAGATCCTCAAGGCCAGCTGCTACCCCCACACCTGGGGAGCACATCTGGGCACACTGCACATGTCTACAGCAAAGCCTGAAGTCCTCCTGCTTCATACTACAAACCGACCAACAGTAGAGAGAGGGCCTGGGAGACTTCCCTGAGGAATGCTGCTACTACTGGGTGCAGGATACCAGATCAAGTAGATCCCTTGGGTTGTTCCAGTCTGGCATTATGGGTCCTAGCTGGGGGTCAAACATACCCCAGCCTCTTGCCAGTTTACCCCATTGTGAAGGCTCTTTTGAGTAGTTACACTGGGGCTGGGAACTCTCAGCAGATCTTTACTAGGTGGGGCATGTGCTGAGCTGAGTTATGACCTCTCAGTGCATTTCAAATGCTGAGCAAAGGGCAGACTCTGGCCATGTGGAAGGAAGGCTGCATTGCTTCCCTTTGCCTGGGAAATAAATGGCAAACTTGGACCTGGTCTCAGAACACAAAGGAGGCACAGATATTGGGCTTGGTCTGTAGAGCCAAGTGCTCTGCACAGTCCCCAGGACTGAAGTCAAATGGGGCCCAGAGGGCTGCCCAAGTCCCCAGACTGTGATGGAGATTCCCAAGGAAAGGTACACACCAGGCAGGCACTCTGCGCCATTCTTTTATTTTGATATGGGGAGGGTTTTTTTGTAGGTGCAAAGATCTATTTTCAAGCTAGAAATCTGATATGGACTCTATATACACATGTAGAATGCTCTGAGGTTAGCTATAAATTAAGGCTGCATCACTATACACACAGCAGTGAGGGGAGTTACACTGGGGGCTAGGGGGACACACATACAGGAATGTGGATCCAGAGAGCCAGGAGCACTGGAGAATTAGATGCTGCTGGCACTGCCCTGGGGAGGTCAGAAGAGGCTCCTCTGCAAGATCCAGGGAGCCAGCTATGGAGACCTGTTTTTCTTCATGAAGAGGTACCAGAAAATTCCTCTGACGCATTTCCCCTCTGGCTTTACTGGCAAGGCCAGTCTAAGCCATCAGCTGACTGTCACAGGGGAGGCATTATTAAGGCAAATAGCTAGCTCACCCTGTTGCACAAGTCCAAGGATGGGTAGATGGATTGGGTGGCTCCTCCAGTCACCTCCCTACCAACAGGTCCCAACAAGCTTGTTTTGAGATAATGAGAAAGGTTGCATGGGATGAAGTCCTGGGCTTTGCAGGCATTTCTCCAGGGAAGTGCCCTGCATGCAAGCATTGCTGGTGGAGTTCCTTCCCCAGCTGAGTGTTCCAAACAGCCCTGGTCCTCCCTCCCCAGTGGAGCACATATCCTGAATCCATTGCAGCCACTAAGTCCCTGTGGCTCCCCCTGCCTTGGCCTCTCCCCAAGCTACAGTCTCCACACATGCCAAGGGCTTTGGCGCTCAGAGGATGACCCTCTGGTCCAGGTGCTCCCCCCGGCCAGCTCGCTGGTGCCGCACTTCTAGGTGCTTGTTCTGGACTTTCTCAAAGTGCTGCAGCAGCTCCACATAGTCGATGTTGGGTGCCGGTGATTTCTTGAAGCCATGGCCAATCTTAGTGCTGTCTCTGGGGGAGAAAGCAAAGACCTGAGCGCATTTTTCATGTCCAAAGGGCCCCACAAGCAGCATCTCAGGAATGCAAGAGGCTAGGGGGACCTGCTCCCAAGGCAGGCAGCCACTGCTTTATACCATGAAAAGCTGCCCCACCCTTCACAAGGCAGCTGCTGGCCAAAGGGGCATTACAAGTATATGCAGATTTATGGCAGCTCAGAAGCAGGGGATGGGGGAGAGAGAGGAGGCATCCAGGTACCTAGGCAGAGGCCTGGCCCTGCCATCCTTGCTCCTGATGAACTAGACAAGCATATGGGAAGGAGTGGGAAAGGCAGGGTCAACAGCATGCCTGCTGCTCCAGTCTAGTACATGGCTCCTGGGTATAGTATATGGGGAGTGTCTGCCGTGAGCCCAGCTCTTACGAAACAAATCCTCAGCATGAAAGCCAGAGAACGCCCTGTCTCTGAGGGCACTGCCTGCACTGACAATAGCTCAAGGCACTGCCAGCGCTTCTCCATCAACAAGGAGGATTCAAGCTACTCCCACTCCAGGCCATGCCAGGCCCCAGGAGGTTGGGTGGATGGCTGATGCTTTAGAAACTTAGTCCAGGCTGTGCTGGCTGCTATCTGGGGACCTGAAGGAGCTGGAGTATTGCCTAGGGTAATGCTCAGTGCCAACAGGTACATGCAAGGCCAGAATGTGCCTTATGCTGTGGGACACAGCTTGCTCTCCAAGCCCCTTATAAACACTGAAGCTGAGGCAGACTGGAGTGAACCCTGCTTCCTGGGGAACTGCCAGGCTAAAAGCTTTGGCTAAAGCCATGTCTGAAGTCAGTGGTACTACCCAGTGACTGTGTGTTCCCAGGCTTGGGCTTTACCCACTGGTCCTTGCTGCTCTCTCGCAGCTGACAGGAAGCTGGTTAAGAGGAAGCCATTAGTCAAAGAAAAGCCTCTTGTGCTATGGGGCTTGTGGAGGAACAAAACACACTAGTACCCTCCTGCTTGAGAGCTGGGGTTAAGTGTTTGCTTCAGTCTCATGAGAACAGGAGCCTCCTCCAAAGGCTCTCACCAATAAGGCCTGGCTTGGTTGGCTCCACAGAGGTTCCAAGCTAGAAGAACAGGGGAGGCACTCCTGGCCAGCTGGACAGTAGGGCTGTGCAAAATTTCACCCAGCATTTCATTTCGAAGCTGTTTCAATGTGTTTTGAGCTCAAAACAGCGCAATCAAAATGAAACAAAAGCCTTTGAAACAGCTGTGAAATGGAACAAGGGAACGCCAAATGTTTCGAAAGTTTCAAAATGCTTCGAGTGTCGAAGCCAGGCTTACTGGCTTCAGCGCCAGTCCCAGCTGACAGCACCTGCCTCCTGTCATCCGGCAGGCAAATCAGGAGCTTGCCTACATCACCGGGAGGACTCTGCTACAGCCCTCTCAGCCCTCCTGGGGGTGCCGGTGGGCCCCCAATCTGCCCGTGGGCTGACAGCAGGCGGGTGCTGCTGCCTGGGGCAGATCACCTCATGCAGAGACCCACTGGCCTGACCCCAGGGTGGGGGAGGGTCCCCATATGAGCTGATCTACCGCCAGCTCTGGTATGGGGCCTGTACAGATCAGCTCATGCGGGGACCCACCCCCCGATCTCAGGGCAGGGGAGGTGGGGTTCCCGCATGAGCTGATCTGCCCTGGCCCTGTACTGGCAAGACCAGGCCATGTTCTCATGTGGCACCACCATCACAGTGTTTGTGTAGCACACCTGGTGCACTTTAACCATCACACAAGCCCAAATTACCCCCACCCCAGGACTCTCTGCTCTAGTTCCTGCACACATTATAGTGGTGCTTCAGCTCTTTGCATTTCTCATCTGCAGATCTCCAAGAACTTTACAAGGAAAGGCAGCTAATGTCACTCCCTCTTCTCCTTCATTTTATATGTAGGAAAACTGCAGCACAGGATGATGATGTTACTCAGCTAAACATGTAAATGATACACCCAGAAATAAAACACAAGTTTTCAGGTGAACAGTTAGCTGTGATGCTGTCAGGTGGCTGTACCATGCTCCAGGTGGGTGCGGGGCCCAGGGCAGGTCAGCTCGTGTGGGGACCCTCTCCCACCCCAGGACCAGGGCACTGGGTCCCTGCACGAGCTTATCTGCCCTGGCCCTGCTGGTCCCAGGCAGCAGCACCCAGCTCCTTTCAGCTGGCAGGAGTCCAGAGTCCTCCTGGAGGTGTGTGCCCCCGATCTGCCTGTTGGGTGACAGGAGCCAGGTGCTGCTGACTGGGGCCAGCAGCAGCACCGATCTTCCTGGTGCTGGGTGTGGGCTGTGCCCCGTGCCAGTCTGTCATCTGGCAAGCAGATTGGGGGCCAACACCCCCGGGAGGACTCCAGCACAGCCTCAGCAGCCCTCCCAGGGGTGTGGGCGAGCCCCTAATCTGCCTGCCAGAGGAGAGGAGCTAGGTGCTGCTGCCTGGGACTGGCGGCAGCAGCGATCTTCCGGGTGCTGGTCCCAGGTAGCATCACCCAGCTTCTCTCATCTGGCAGGCAGATCGGGGGTCTCACACCTCTAGGAGGACTCCAGCACAGCCCCGGCAGCCCTCCTGGGGGTGTGGGCAAGCCCCTGATCTGCCTGCCAGCTGCATTTTGTGTTTCCCGATAATAAACTATGGGCAAAACATCGCAACAGCAAAACAGTTTTGACAAAACGAAATGGAACAGTGCTTTTGAAACAAAATGAAACTGTTTTGTCGAATTGTCAAAACGGAAGTCAAATCAGAACAGTGCTGTTTCACACAGCCCTACTGGACAGAGCTCTGGAGCATAGGGCAGCACTGACAGACACCAGGTCTGGCCCTGGCACAGGCTGCTGGTTACTTCCTCCAGCTCCTCTGCTCTGACAAGCCTGGCCTGGGCTGCCTCAGACAGCGCCGCATTCGCTGGGCATCTCCACCCTGGTCAGCCCACGTGCTACCCATGTGCCCTCCTGGGCTGGGGCTGCCAGTGAGCCTCTGGCAACATGCTGCCGTTCTAATCCTGGGGTATGCGAGAGAGAGCCTGTGTCCTGGCTTGGGTATGCGCTGCAAGGCATTTCCTGTTTGCGAATGCCTCTCCCTGACAAATGAGCAGCAGGCAGCTGCTCTGTGGGTCAGTGCCCTGGGACAGTGGGAGGAACGGCCTGCTTGCACAGCGAGGTCAGGCCAAGCCAGAGGAAGGGGTTGCTACTGGAGCCAGGAGCTTGGGCTGGCGCTGAGGAAATGTGAGGGCCTTGTTGTTGCATAGCACCAGGGAGGGCTCCATCTTGACTGACAGCTGGGTGTGACAGCAGGGGGGTGGGGAGTGTGGTGGGAGGATGGATGCAAGGAAAGCCAGGAAAAGGAGACAAACCTATCTTGGAACACGAGGATGCTCAGAGCCAGACACCCTAGCTAGAGACACTGCCTCAAGTAAATGTTAGGGCATGGTGGGACATTCATGTGCCCCACAGCTAGCAACTAAGAGCATGGGAGAGGTAGAAGCCTCTCCCTGCAAGAGACAAGGTTGCTTGGGCTGTGGAGTAGGCAGTCGGGCCATGCTGCCAGGGGGCAGGATTCTCACAGAGCCTCAGCCTGTCTGGCTTTGTGTCCAGCCTTGCACACTGTTCCCCCTCCAATCTGCATCACACATTACCATTCCTGACTCAGGTCTTCTCCCTCAGGTTAACAGCTTAGTGGAAACCACCAGCATTTAACCAACACATCAGGACACAGTGGCAGCAAAGCAAAGGAGATCACCAGGGACAAACTCATGCCCTTCCAGGAAGCCATGACAGTGAGATATGTACTGAAGCTTCAAAATCACAAGACAAAAACCAGCCTGGGTGTAAACCCACCTGATTCCTTAGCAACGTGGTGGGAAGTCCCTGCTCTGAAACAAAGGCCCAGAGAGGCAAAGCTGGAGCATCCACACCATTGTGAAGGACTTCTCCAGCTTTGTGGAACTCTCTCTGAGGCTGGGGCAGGACAGGTAGAGAAACCCCACAAGTACATGGACACCTAACCCTTTCCTTGGGTGACACAAGGATGTCACATACAAAGAGAAACGTAGACTAGGGTTTCCGCAGGGATGGAAACGTATGGTCAAATGACGACCTGCCTTGCGCAAAGCATGGTCAGCCCCAGAAAGGAATATATAAGAGGAATTAATAAATCAGTATTTAAGATAATGCTTTTTCAGGCAAGAAAACAAACACTGTAACTTCCCCACAACCCCAAACAACCCCATCCCCCTGGCTCTTTCACAGACTCCATTTTGCCTCTGCCAGGATTCTTCCTGTAGGTTTATTTTCAGCTTGGATTGGCCAGATCACAAAGACAGTTTGTTTCCTTGGGATTAACCAGGATTAGGAGCCAAACTGCAGAACAGTGTTTGGCAGGCTCTCTCCCACCCCTTACTAGCTTTGGTGTCTAAAATTCTGCTTTCCACCCCTAGAAAGTCCATTCCAGAATAGGGAGGGAGCAGCAGGAGCCACAGTTTGGAGGCACTAGCAGGAGGACAAGTTTTCCCTGGCCTAGATATTCACAGGAGAGGCCTGCCTATATATTTGGTGGTTCAGTAAAAACCATGGAAAGGTGATTTAAAGGCCTTGGGGGAGGAAAGATGAGGCATGAGCAATGCAAACTGGCTTAGCTCTGATGATCTTGGAAGGACAAGAAGAAACAGTCTTCTTGCTCCCCCAGCTCTGAAGTTTTAACACCATGGTCACCAAAGCACCCCCCTGCTTCCCACTACACTGCTGACAGAAGCAGAGAACACGTCTCAACAGCTCAGACAGCCAGAACTGAGCAGCTTCAGCTGTACAATTCTCCTGCTGAATCAGACTCTGCTGAAAGAATCTCCTTCCTGTTTACAGGGGAAAATGGAAAGGGGTGGCAGCCTTTCCTCCTGGTCCTTCTTCATGGATCACTGAGCTGTGTTAGAAGAGGGCTACAAGGACAGCACTGAGTTCACTGCATATGAGCACTGCTCCCTCCTGCTGAGGAAGTGACTAATGTTCCAGGGACCCCAATGACTCTCCTTTCCTCTTTCACAGGGGCAATCAGTGGGACAAAGCCACTTAGTTCTGCTGCAGATAACTGGACCCACCCAGGGGCCCATCTAGACTGGGTCAGATAAGGTGGTGCCACTAGCACAGGGGTGGGCAAAATGCAGCCTGAGAGCTGGATGCGGCCCACTAGGCCATTCTATCTAGCCCGCAGGGCCCCTTAATATTAATTTTCCAAATTTTTTATCTGCCCTGGGCTGCCTGTCATGTGGCCCTTGATGGCTTGCCAAAACTCAGTAAGCAGCCCTCTGCCCAAAATAATTGCCCGCCCCTGCACTAGCAGGACTCTGTATGACCAGGTTGCCAGGTACAACGGTCTGTCAGCTGTGGCCATTGTATTTTAAATCAGGGTTATCACCGTGTCCTTGGCAGTGCTAGAACATGCTAGTTGGGTTCTGTGGCTGTAAATGGGATGCAGTTAACTTGGCTGGCAGGGCTGCCTGCCGAGAAACAACCAGAACTCGCAACTCCTCTGACACGGAGAGCAAAGCCTAGTTTATGAAGGTTTATGCCTGGTTTATGAAGGGCTGGCATGTACTCCCCCAGCCACAGAGGGTGCCCAGCAAGGAGGCAGGTCCATGAAGCAAACAAGCAAGAGGTGAGCAAATGGTGCTTGTTGCCCCGGATTCCTAGGCACACCATTTGCAGGCTGAGGCAAGGCGAGTGAAGCACCCAGGCTGAGTTTCTTTGTGGAGGACAGAATGGCAGCTACAAAGTTGAGATGGAGGCAGACTCTGCACTGCAGCAGGTGACAGTTCAGTGAATCACTTCACCCATGCCTCCATTTCCCCTCAGGCTTTGTGTGGTCTATCCAGGCCATGGTGCTCTCATGCAGGGAAGGCGTTGCTGTGATACGCACAGGGAGAAGGGAAGTGGCTCTTTACTGTGCCGACCCCCACCCTTAGATTAAAGGATTAACCTAAGGCTGCATGATGGACTGGGAAACCGGGAACAATGGCAGCAGTCCTCTCAGCTAAGAAACTTAAACCCATGATCTGGTCCATAGGAAAACATAAACAAAAAAGACATGCTGCTTTGGGAGGTGGCAGGGGGGTGTGGGGGGAAAGAAACCTTGAGATTCCTCTAGGCTAACACCTTTCCCCTCCATGGCTTGCTCTGGGCCCAGCTGACTTCCCCAGGGAGGGGCAGCTTGCTTTCGCCTGTTCTGAAAGCAGGCTCTGATGTTTAATGGAATGTAGGTCACAGTTAATCAGATGCTCAGGCTGTCTGACAGCTTCACTGCTCCCAAAACCTGGCAGTCAGGGGCAAAAGCAAGGGAAAAAAAATAGGAAAATGTGAATAAAAGAGTGCTCAAAACCATCAGAATAAAACGTCAGGCTGCTCAAAGTGCTGACTGCACGCAGAGGCATGTGGTCCTGAGCACACGTGTTGGGGAGCAGGAAGACTGGATAAAAGCCAGCCATGGGGACTAGTTAAAAGGGAAGGAGTTGGGCTGCTGGGTTTTCAAAAGCTGCACATCTTGGAACTAACTCTTTTCATAGCTCATCAGAGGAGGGATATGTCTCTTGTGGGGAGTTGCCTTCCCTACTTATTTGTCTGGGCTATGGGAGCTGCTCTTCGACCAAGAGTGTATTGCTGACCTGCCCTGGGATGGAGGTACTTTTGTAAGAAGCATCTCAAAGTTGCCAAGAGAAGTTGAGGCAGGAAATCTCATTTCCTGGCAGTTTTAGGAGAACAAAAAGCCCTGAGTACCTGCTAGGGTCTCCAGGCATGTGATAGTTCCCTTTCCCAGGAAGGTTTGCCTGACCTGCATGCCTTCCATCTTGGCTCTGCTGAGCACAATCTGCTCCAGGGATTTCGCCCCCTGATGGAGAATGTCCAAACAACGGCACCAGACTGGGAGGGAGGGAGGGCTGGTTCCTACCCATTTCCATACACTGCTTATTGAGGGCTGTCCACATTACTCTAGTTCCCCCTTCACCTACAGCCAGCATCACAACCTTCATCTTTCCAGGACAGGACTCACCACTGGCTCCTCTCCCTCCTGTCTATAGCCTAGGCATAGCAGACTGCTCCCCATCACCTTTTATGTGCCTGAAAAACAGAGCAACAAGAAAAGCCCTGGTCTCTAGCTCTTCCCTGAAGATTGCCAGCCTCTATCCTTTGGGGACAGCCACACCCTCCCTGTGTGCGCCCCCCACTCCCAGAGGCACAGGGTGCTGTGGAAAGCCTGCTGCCTGTAGCAGGACAGAACAGGTCAGGTCATCAATGGGCAGGCAGGTGGTGGGTCATCAACAAAACGAGCCCTATGGCACCTACAACAGCCCAGCCAACTGCCTGTCCAGAGCTTTCAGGCAAAGTTCCACAAAGCAGCCTTCCAATCCCACCTGCACGACCGACTCCTCAAACACCTGCCTGGAGCAGTGCCTCTGTAAATCTCAGACAGGAAAGCCACAGAGGAACATTATGCATATCCGCTCCGAGCTCTTGTGGAACCAAAGGCAGGTGCATTTGCTGGGAGGAAGTGTGGTGGGCAGGAGAGGGAAGAGGGAGAAGGGCAGGAAAGAAGAGGCTAAGTAGCTAAGGGTGGCACTAACTGGCTCCTAATCAAGGCTCCCACAGGACAAGTGCTCAGATGGGTGAGCCTGGATGCAAAAGACTGGCAAGCTAGCAGGTGCCATCCTCAGTGAGTACACTGGGGAGCCAAAGTGGCTCCCACAACCAGGCAACTAAGGAGGATGAAGCGCTGCCCGTGGAGCCTAATGCTGGCATGCATAAGGCCAGCTTCCTGCAGGGAGCCCAGCTTAATGGGCCTGCGGGAGAGGCTCCAAGCAGCCCGTGGCAGCTGACAGGAGCTGCATCTTCTCTGTTCAGTATAAACCTTCTCCATGGCTCTGCTCGTTTCCATGGCGACCCCACAAGTGAAATTTTCCATCCCAGATGCCAAATGCCTGTGGATGAGGCACAGCCCTCCCAGGGTTACCAAATATAGACAAAACCAGAGTGTGCGCTCCACGATGCAGGGCGAGGAAGATGCATCAAGCCCCAGTGGGCAGCTGTGATCGTGGCTGCAGCTCAAGGGGGGCCCTCAGCCTGGACACCCCACTCACCAGTGAGGGCTGGAGAGGATCTGTCACCTCTCAAGCCCAGCCCCACACCTGGCTTGGAACAGTCGTTATGCATCATAAACAGGAGCTGAGCATGCCTGTACACACGTAACTGGCATACTATGCTCCCTGGATGCAGAGCGTGTCAAAAGGCACAGGAACCCTGACTGCCCAATGACTTGTCAGAGCTGCCATCCACAGCTAAACTCTTCTGCCCACACCTCTTGCCATCTAACCAGTACAAGCTAAATTGTGCTCTAGGGGGTAATCTCCCCCCAAAGTAATCTCTCCTCCATATGAAGAGCAGCAGAATGGCTCCCTCCCACCTGCACCCCATGGAGCTGTGGAGCCAGACTAGCACACTACTTACGTGGTCTGCATGAGCTCAGGGTTGGGCACACACTGCAGGCGGTGGGAGAGGAGCTGGAAGGCACTGCTCTGGGGCAGCAGCATCAGCAGCCCATAAAGAGCCTTGATCAGGTAGGGATTATTTTTCACATCCAGCAGCTGCAGGCGAAGATCTGTAGCCAAATAGACAAGTGTGCAAAGGATATGAAACAGCACTTATATTCCATACAGTACCCAGAGCCTTTGCTACCAATCTGCTAGGTCCAGACAGCGACTGGGAACTTCTTTACCAACATTTGCCAATAGGTCCAAGGCCACACTGCACTAGCGCCGTGGACCTGCTTCCATCAAGGTAACTCTAAAAGAGGAACTCTGCCAGTTCAATTTCCAGAGGGAATACCCATTATTCTCTACTCCTGAGACTCCTGATTGTAGCTTCAGCATGCAGGCAGTGACTGGGCAGGCTTCTTCTTCTGACATCTTAAGAGGCAGTCACAATGCCACCAGGCTGCCTGCTCTACCGACTTGCCTCTACCGTGATGTGGTGCTTCTGTAACAAGAAGCCCCTTCTTGCCTATACCCCCTGCCCAATTTTGTGCATTTATTTTTCCTTCTAAGTACTGGCAGAGACCTAGCACACTCATTGCATGGGTGTGGCAAAGTTTGGAGCAAGCCAGAAAGCTGAAGTGGCTTTCTGTAGGAGAAACCTACAAATCACTACATATCAACTGATCTAAGTGTCACTACAGAAAAAAGAACTAAAATATCCATTTAAAAAAAAGCCTGTAAGAGATAAGAAAAGCCAAGGTGCGTTGAAAGCATGACTGTAAATATATCCTGGTGAACACATTCTCCCTTTGATTAAAACCTATTTCCCAAAGCAAACTTCCCATATTGGTCTAAAGTTTATGCTAAATCAGTCTACTGCATCTAACCTAACTCACTTATTGTCCCCAGTGGCCATTAATTCTCACTACCTCACATTTGCATTTATTAATTAAGGTATATTTCTTTTTATATTTCATCTGTTTCATCTTTATGTTTTATATCTTTTAATGAATGTGTTCTTTAAAGTAAGTCATACCTTGTATTACTAAAATTATTATTATAAGAATGCACTGGAATTGTAATCACTGGAATTGTATTGCTGAATTGGGCTGGTCCCCCTGAGTGAATGTGAGTATGAATCAGTAGATAACTGAATGGCAAAGCAAGAGCCTCTGGCTGTGAATTGACAATAACCTAGCCAGAGGAACTTACCATTACAAAACTCTATTCTACAAGACATTTTAAGATAATCAAGTCACCTGAAACCTGCAACAACACAGTCACAATAAGTCAAGGGTGGACTCCCAAAACTGCACCATCAGGTGAAACCCTAGTAACCATGACTGACAGCTGTCATGCACTACTCAAGACCCACGCAGGACAGCGACCTCTGGACCGGACAGCCAAGATGATGCTGGGGATCTCACAAGTCTGCCAGAGAAGGGATAAAAGGCAGTGAAGCATGACCCTCAGGGGTGCCCTCTCATCCAGCACCCAACCTACCGAGACAGAAGGACAAACAGGCAACCCCCTTCTGAAGACACTGCCTTGGAGGAAACTGGCCATTGACAGCAGACTCCAGCATCCCGGATAGGTTCCCTTTCCTGACCAAATACATACTCCTTCACTGCCTTATGAGCAAGACTGCCCACGGTTTGAGGTATGGTTGTGTTCTGCAAAAAGACTGTGTAAAAATGGCACCTTTCTGCATCTCACTGCATTCAAAGAGTCAGTAGTTTAGCAAGCTCATCTTCCATGGGGATCAAAGGGAAACCATCTGCCAGGTTCCAGCTGTAAGATTACAACTGCACGTGACAAAAGGAAGCAGATTACAGCTATGGACAATGCACTGAGACCATGAACTCATGATCTTGACACTCAGATCATAGGTGGAAACCATAGCTCTGACAGTTAGGAAAAGGCAGCTCCTTTCTTCTGGGCTAAGCATATTGGATTTGGAGTCTGTGCAATGTCACAGACATGGAGCTACACATGATGCCATCTAAAGTATTGCTTTTCAGATTAGCTGCACCTCAAGCCCCCTGAACAGTGAACACTGAAAAGAAACAGCACATAATGTGCAGAAGGCAAGCAGTCCCTGCCAGAATTACCACCATCATCTGCAGCCCTGGTCAAGTGCAGGGTTACTGCAGAGGGCTATATGGTTTGTACCATCAGTGCGGTCCTTCTGGAACAGCAAATGCCTCTAAGTCTACACCAAAACCATGGCTGGCAGTAAACATGGCACAGACCTTCAGAACATTGACCGATACTACACAACACAACCTGCACAACTCTAAGACAGCCATACACAGCAGCAGCAGTGTGAAAAAGAAATCAGGTGCTGGGCAGTTCCCTGAAGTTGCCATTTCTAACTCTCTTCATGTACACTGGCTTGCTTTACTGTCCTTAGTGTTGTTGGGCAAGCTGGCCTATAGTTCAAAACTACAGACAGGAAGGGGATAGTGCTCTGTCAGCCAAATCGTGTTCACATGCCTACTATGTATTAAAAGTCAGGGGACCTGAAGATGTCAACACTGAATCAGACTGTACTCTGAGCCCTGCCACTGGAACACACCCTGCTCATTTGCTCTCATTCTACATACACTGAGTGTAACGTAGCCACTGTTCTAATTAAGGTGCCAGAGACACAGCAGTACCTGGCCTCACGGGGCAAAAATTGGACATGCTGAAATTTCCGCAGTTGTGCACATGGAACAAAGCCACACAAGGAAGGGTGGGGAGCACGTTTTCACAGCAGCACTTCTTAGCATGGCCTGAGGTGTTGTAGACAGATCCCTTGTTCTTGAACACTGGTGTTTGCAGCATTCTAGCTGGTTTTACTCTGGCTCCTCAAGTGCACTGGCCCTCTCAGCATTTTGAACTCCCTCATTTGTGAAATGGGGACCAGATACCAACACATCTTTGCAATGCAGAGATCTCTGGTTGGAAAATCTCATCTGCCACATGTGCCTCACCACCTTCCAATACCAACAAGACTCCCTTTCAGAAGGATTCAGAACTAGGGCAAGAACTTCTTTGCCTTCTGGAAACAGGCAGTCCTCAGGTTGGCCAGCTCAAAAGTTGCTAATGTTCACGTGCACTGGGCTCTGGAAAAGCTGGAGGAAACTGCGCACTATCACTTTATGAACAGGGATCAAAAGGTAGGTAAGAGAGACGGAAAGTCTCTTTTCTTCCCACAGCAAACCTGGGCATTTCCCGTCCTTAGTTCATCCATTGCACAACTCCCTGGCCCAGCTGACATGCCTGATGTTAACTGGTTTCCCATCGGTTTTGCTGAGCTGATGTCAGAGGATCAGCAGCATCCACCTGCTGCCCCCAGAATTTAGGCAGTACCAGCAGTTTCATCTCTGCTGCAGGGAGGGGAAGGGCTTTGTGATGTGCACACATGCATTTCCCAAGTAGGATGGCAGCCCTTTAATTAATGCAGCCAAGTTATTTCTCCCTCCTGACTCCTCCCCTATCTCCCCTCCCCTCCCCTCCCCTCCACTCCACTCCACTCCACTCTATGCCTGGCTAGGGAACTGCAGTCCTGAACTCATACAATTAGAGTGATTTCCATGACAACAGGCTGGGATGTTGCAAATAAAAATTTGTCTTTGCTGTGCAGAGACAATGGGATAAAGAAGATTGATCTTGCCCAGCCCCACAATCTTTTAGAAGGAAATCCAAGACTGGGACAGGAATTCTCACTGGTTAAATGCCTGTGTCATGTACTTGAAGAGCTCAGTACACACTAGGCAAGCTTGCCTCTAATAACAGGGCATGAAGTAAGCATATTTCAAGTCCCAGACCCATACTTGGGTGGAGCAATATGTGGCATAGCCATGCAGCCTCCTGAACTCCCACAGATCTTCACACCCCTCACCTCTGACTCCTGCCCAATCCCAGCTATTCAGAAAAGGTGACAAGAAGCATCCTGCTGTCCCAAGGACATCTAGGCTCTGGGCAGAAAGTAGGTGAATTCACTTGCCACGATCACAACCCATTAGCTGCACCAGAGAGCTTAAGCAGAACTTAGAGCTGGAATCTATCTGCTTCTTGAGGAGAGGAGATATGGGAGCAAAACACAAAGCAACTCCTACACCAGAAGAGAGGGAATCTTGCCTGGTGCCAGCTGGCATGAGAAGGTCCAGATCACCATAAGGAGTTCACTGAATGCAACATGGCACAGGGCAATGAAGGTTCAAGGGCTACTTCAGAAAGAAGCAGATTCACTGGCACTTGGCAAATGTCTCAGTATTAGCAGCCTATGGACACACGCAGTAAGGCATAAGGCATGGGAGCAGGCTAAGCCCTTTGGGACTGGCAATCCTTCATTCTCATCATGCATGGTACATAACTTGTGTCAGGCCACTCTACCTCATGGCACCAAGAACATATGCATAAGAAAAGCACCTGCTGCAAACCTCTCCTGGAACCTGCCAATATTGCTGACCTGTCTCTCAGCTCCAGGCAAGAGTAAGGCCAAATGGAACTGCGGAGGGGAGAGCAAAGGAGCAGACTGTGCTGTAGCACAGCAACGACATGCAGAGCAGCCTGCTATGAATCACTGGGGGGAGTGTTCCAAACAAGTGCCTGCTGGTGAGAGATGCCAAGGGCAAAGCAGAGCCTGTGCCTCTATGCACCTCTGGGGATTGAGGCCCAATCTGAGGGGATGCGAGTGATGAGTTGATGTCACTGCCTGACAGTGTCTGACAAGCCGTGGTTTTGGCAGTGGCTGTGAGAAGCGTATAAATCAAGGCCCCATCTCTTATATGGAAACTGAATATTGCTATGACTCCAGGTATGTTACTAGGAAAGAGACCATGCCCCAGTGAGGCTGTTACAGAGAAATGCCTTGTAGGCATGTCACCTTGTGTTGAGGGCACAACACAACCTGGAAGTCAAGTCACATTAGGCTGGGTCACAACGCAAATGGGAAACCTTCATGGAACAGCAACTGGCTATAGGAAGCAGCGCACTTGACTCAGGCAGAGGGAGCCAATGACCCAAAAAGCACATTTTGCTGGAGGTGCCATCTTTTGGGTCAGAACTGAAACATACATCCTGAGCACTTAAAAGTGAGGACTGCTGGGAATGATCCTATGCTGCCTAGCTGTCAATGGGGCTGACAGCACAGCCCCTGGGAGAACTCCCAGTCCAACAGATCTCACTGCCTGGCCAATCCCTGAGAAACCATCTGGACTTCACCCCTGTGCCATTATTCTTTTGCCACTCACTGGTGGTCATAAAAGATCCCCAGGCTCATTTTGTGACAGCAGGTGGTGCTGAAACTGGTGTCCTGGCCAAATGCCACATGGGGTAACTAATATCCTATCCCTGCTAACTCTCTCCCCATTCCCCACCCCCAAACACACAGGTTCAGCTGAATATGGTGTATCCCTACATATGTCCTGGATGGCTGTGTAGTATTACCAGCCACTTTAAGACATGCCTGGCATATATTTACCTTTCCTGGGGTAATCCGCTACATGGATTTAGTCCCACACACTTTAGGGATCAACTATGCTCAGCCAGTAAGTGCAACTGGGCACCTGCTGGTCTTCTCTTTAGGAGCCAGCAATGAGCAATGACCAGTCTTCGCAACAGGCGTGTGCCTTCCCCAAATCCAAGAGGATCTAGGGATTCCTCTGTTCCCCTTCAAATGTTGAGCCCCTAGATAAGGGGAGACTTAACTGCTTATAGTCCTTTAAATCGGTTCATTCCCAGGAAAAAAAGCTTGTATAAGCTGGAAGGAGTCCAGAAGGTGTTAAGAGCTCAGGCCTGGTTTCAACTGTCCCGAAGTGTTTAGTTGGAGTTATCTTGTCCTGAGTCATTGTTTCATTTCTGACTTAACTTTCCAACAGCCCTCCTATTCAGCTAAACCAACGTGTTCATACCATAAACATCCCAATAACCAGGTCACACGTGGGACTCATAAGTCACAGAACAGGTGCTCATCCTTCACACTGTACCACATGCCAGATGTGGCTGTAGTAAAGCTGTAGCTGAAATGACCCCGACATAGTGTTTGAACACTGTGCGACCCTCAGGATAAGAGCCGGGACGTAGCGTATCAAAGACGTAGCATATCAAGAAGCCATGAGAAGAAAACCAGTTCACTTCCTGCCTGGACTACCTACCATACTAAGGACAGTGTGGGCCAAAAGCTGGGCGTTCATACCAGGATCGCAGATTACACCCTAGGAGTACACTGCCCCAAGGCAGGACATGCTGGCACCCACAAACACAGAAGAGTGAATTTTTACTTGGTCCAGTGATTCTGCTGGTTAATTATAACAGGATTTTACATCAATGTTGAGAGAAAAAAATCCCAAACAAAAGGAAATAAATACAGTGCAACACCAACTGTGGTCCAACACAACATGTTCAGCCTGGGAAAGCAGGAATCCAGGCAGCTGCTCCTTTCCTGATGAAAGTAACTGTGCTGACAGAGTGAGGAAACCCCAGAGGCCTGAGACGGCAGACAGCCCTGGCACCGATAACATGGACTCCACTGAGGTTCTACTCTCCTGCACCTCAGCTGGGCAAACTCTCCAACTACACTGTTCAGTCCTTTTTCTTGTGGCTCCACCAACCAGAACATGCTGACTGGACTCTCTTCTCCTGCCTTGGATTGCTGTGTTCAACAGCCAAAAGCAACAGTACAGAAATATGAAACCACGCTCCTGGCCTCTGCGGAGAATGCAGTGCCCTGGGAAGGTGAGTCCAAGAGTTTCCCACCTTGGCTTCATGGAGAACGTTGAAAGCTGCTCTTCCCCTCAGGGAGGAAGGGAAGGGAAGGGAAGGTGCCCAACCTTTTCCCCTTATGATTCTGCTCCATTAGTATTTTTGAGCTCCCAGAGCAAGTGTGCTTTCTGGAGGGTGATGCTTCAGTCACTGACATTTCAGAGGAAAAACAACCATTTTAGAAACCCATGTCTCTGTCAAAGCTCTAGTCAGACTAGGTTTGTGAAGAGTGTTTGAACAGTCCCTTTCACTAGTGTAGGTCACTGCCTGCGGGACCCCAAAAATGTAAAGGCTGGTAACTGGGCAGAGCTTGCAACCTCCCAATCCCCACACTCCTTTTGCAACACTGCCCCCAAATTCCTCCCCCTCAAACACTTGCCTTCCTTAGCTCTGCAGCAAAAAGGAACTTTTGAAAATAGAAATGCTACCAAACAGGCCATATTGTAAAGGCTATGTACCAAGAACCTTTGAAACAGATGACCTGGGGACCTACTTTCCTTTGATCAAATGCAGTCCCACTCATCAAGATGGAACTGCCTGCTGCAGTCTTTCATCTTTCTTAAATGAATTTTGATTTTTGACATTTAATTTCTTGGAGATCATCATCTGCATATGGATTTCAGAGCCCTTTAAAATAATTTTTAAGCCAGAACTTTTGGTCTCTGGGCAAAATTTCCCATAGAAGCCCCTGCAGCCAGCAGGCAGAGAGCAAGGAGCATGCATAGTACACATTCCATGAAAGCTGCTAAAGGCAGAGTTCAAGTTGCAACACACGGACATCTCTCAGGTTCAATTACTATAGCATGTCTCACTGAGCCACTCTTTCACTGTAACAATATAATGCCCAGAAAACCCTCTGGCTCAACAGAACCATAGTCTACCTCCACAAACATTTCATTCTCTTTGGCACACATTACTGATGCAATGACCCAGAGCTGTAAACATATCCCTGAGTAACTTCAAACTAAACTCCATCACCCTCAAGAAGGGGGCAGTGGGCTCTGTGCATTAGGTTAAGATAAATCCTCAGCTGTGGAGATTAATGTTGGGAGGATCAGAACCACAGTTTGAGTCTCAAGTGTGAGCAGAGATGCTTCAGAATCAGGCAATTTTGGAAAATTCTCTTTTGTGCTGTTTTAAAGGGGGCTATATATCAGGAATCCTTGTTTAAGCAACCTAAAAATTAGAAGCAGCAAGCAGTCTCATCTTACGCCCTCTCGGAGCACAACAAACTTCAAGACTGAGCTGTAATATTTGTCTTCAAGCATTTAGAACAAGTCTTTTAACCAGTAAGTGACTCCTAGTCTTAACTGCAACAAACTACCACACCATTATAACACAGTGAGTTTATATATTCATTATCTTCATACTCCTATGCAGCTACCAATGACACAATGTCATTGCCTTGAGCAGCATCACAGACTATGGTAACTGCACAAAAGCATCCAAGTGGTTTGCTCCAATTTGGTGCCTCTGCCCTCTTTGTTTAGAGCAAACGGTATTGGGACTGTTAACCTATATTCAGCATGTGCTCCCTTCTCTGCAGCTACCCAGCATGTCCTGATGGGCAGTTCTACTGGAGGTCTTGCACAGCTCACAGCAAAAAGTCTCATAACTTCTGCTCTATTTATTTGTGCAGTGCTGCCACTTGTGATGAAGGAGCGGGGAGGGACATGCCCAGAGTGCATGAATGCGCGGACACACCATGTATGTACTCTGCATCCTTCCCCCAGTGCACGCATGCATACCTCCCCACACCAGGATTGCAAAGCAAACTTTGGAACCCTCCCCCCCTCAAGGTTTGAAAAGGCTACAGTTGATGCTTACATGTGAAAATTGGACATTCAATGAGCTGTACCAGCTTGTCTACTTCTGTGAGGAAATCCACTGTGACTTCCAGGTCTCCACTGGAGGTGTTGGTTAAGGACATTTCTCTTTTTTAGGGGAAGGGTGTAGCCATGGTATGTGCTGGCCACAGTTCAGGTAGCCCAGAAGAGGCCTTTTGCAGCAACAGAACTCATGTGCTGGCAACTCTTTCAGCTTCCCCCTTCCTCTTTTGGATAGGATCAGTTATTGCCCAGTTGGCACTACACATCAGGGCTTGCCTTCCAGAAGGAACTGGGCAGCACAGGAGACCCCCAAATGCTGCATCCTCTACGTCTCCCATACCTGCACAGGCAGCTGCCCAGCAGAGGGTAAGTGCATTAATTAAGGTGCTATTCTGGAGCCTCTTCTGCTGCACTCTGCTTTGGCCTCTGATTGTTCTCTTCCAAAGTGTTAGTGAAGGGACAGAATGTGACTCCAAAATCCCCATTAGAGCTTGTTCAGGTTTCTACTCAGCACAAGCCTGGGACACTTTCAACACCAATTCTAGTCTCTTCCTCTTTACCTGTATCAGCACCTAGTAAACAGCTGGCTCCTACAGGAAGCTGAGGAAAATCTCACCAGTGAAATATTTAAACACTCTAGCAGTGACTCAGTGACAAGGTTGAGGCAGGGTGGAAGGGGACGTGGAGCATCAGCTCTTCAGGCTGAGCAACTCTCCAATACCCCAGCAGTCGAAGATGGGGGAAAGTCAGGTTGCCCTTTAAGACAGCAGCAGCCTTATAAAATCCAGGCCAGGTATATCAATGCAAGCAACTCTATGTGAAAAAAAAGCAAAATGGTTTAGAGTGATTTTATACACAGCTGACCTTTGGGAGTGTACAGTGCTCTTATTGCACTGATCCAAAGTGTTCTTAGCACCTAAGATAAACTTTGAAGTGCATTAGAGAGGGTAATTTAGATTATTAAGCTTGTGCTTATGGAAATACACTTAGGGAGTTTCATATTTTGCTGGCACGTGGAAATAATCATTACATTCAAACCTAAATAGTGATGTCAATGGAACCACTGGAGAACCGCAGAGAACTGGTCTCAGCCTTTCCAGCAAAGCTTCAGCCGTTGCCTCCTCCCAGGACTTGCTAAACAAGGAACCATTCCTAAGACACTAGAAGGAGGCAAACAGAGGAACCAGCACAGAACTCCTCCCCCGCCCAAAAAAATCCAACCAAACCAAAACAAAACAAAAAACCAACAAAACAAAAAACAACATACCTCACGTTACGCTAGTGACCAAGGCTAAGCTCTGGCCAAGGGGAGCTAGAGGGTCACCGGGAAGGGAGACGACTATTTGCTCGCCTCCTGTACTTGAGTGGAAGGTAAAAATAAAACAAAAGCAGCAGAACAGTCCCCAAGGGCTGCTTGGCTCCACTGGTGCTGCAGTTATAGCCTTGCTTGAACACATGCCTGATCCAACTGGGACAATATTTTTTTTCCATCCACACAAGATTGGGGTGAACCTCATGTTCTAACATGGTTGGGTTGTAACCATGCTGTAACCAGACTACGTCTGGAGCCCAGGCAGAGCTACACAGACTGAAAGGCTGCTTTGCTGTATTTGATAGTATCTCTATTGCCACCAGAAATACATGAAATACTTGGTACTATGTTGATGGCAACAGTATCTCAGAGAGAGCTCCTCCCAGCAGGGACTGAGGCTTCCTACTTTTTATCCTGCCTAGCACAACAGGGCCTGGAACAGAGCTATAAATAGCAATACAAACAGCAGCAGCAACTGAGCTGCAGCTCATGAGGCTGAAGTGGAGGGGGGGACGGTCAGCTGACAGCAGTTGGCTGGGCACAGTGCTCCCAGCCGTTCACTGAGCAGAGGAAGGGGCCTGGGGCCTGCAACTCCCTCCTCAACCCTTCTTCCACATGGCCCAATGGCTGAGCTTTAAAAATACAAACAGAAACTGTGTGAAGTGCCCCCAACTTAAGAGAACCCAGGGCCCCTGACAGCTGAAAGGAAAGGAGAGTCCCTCTTTGGCACAGGGCTATGTGTAAACATGGAGTCCTTATCTTCTCAGAGGGAGGAGTTGATAAGGAGGCTCACCCAACTCCTTGCTGGCAAAGAAGGGTCAGCGTTCTGCACTGGGCTTTCCTCTCTTTACACTCACAAAACATTATGCAAAGAAAAGATATCTGGACTGTGTCCAGGAAATGTGTCCACCTCCTTTAATTATGGTCCCTTGGCAAGGAGGATTCCTTAGGTAACAGATGGCTGCAGCAGGGAGCCAGGGCTGGTGTAGAAGAGGCTTTTCCAGCTGTGCAACCAGCAATTATTGCTTGATCATGTGCATGGGCAAGCCCTGGACTCTCAAAGAATGTATACCAGGGGTGGGCAAAATATGGCCCGCGAGGCCATTCTATCCGGCCTGCAGGGCCCCTAAAAAATTTAGAAAATTAATATTTATCTGCCCTTCATTCTGGTCAAAAATGACAGGAGCCAAGGACAGCAGGACCCAGGGGAAGCCCAGCAGGCTCCCATAACAGTAGGGCCCACCCTGCTCAAGCCAGTAGCTCCAGCAGGGGCTTCTGGCCTGGGACCA